ACCTCCCTTTGCATAAGCACCTAGCAGAACAGCAGCAAGCAGGAGAGCTGAAAACACAGTAATTAGATCAAGTTCAAACTGTGTTGTCTAAATATATGATTTTCACGACAAGGCATCAATCTGCATGTACTTTACAAAAATATATCATGTTTTGTTTTTGTTGGCCAGCACGTCTACACCGGGATAGACTCCAAAATTAGAGCGGTCTTTCCTTTTACCTTGTTGTTCTAAACAGCTTTTCTTTTCCTTGATGATTTTTCTTTAAGGAATTAATATCCAGCTCATGTACAATACTTCATAAATGGTTGCAAAGGAAAGGAAGAAAGTAAATACAAAATTAACTGACACTAAGTGCAGTGATATTTTATCAGTGTAAGGAAGGCATCAAAGTAACGCTTTATAGATGGTGGTTTGGAAAAGCCGCAGATTAACAGTACTCTAGGGAATCACATGGAGTCAAGGGAAAGTCAAATGAATTCTTTTTTCCTGAGCTAATCCCCTGAAGTCAAATCTATTCTTTTCCTCAAAAAAAAAATTAAATTAACTTAGAATCTGAGATAAATTTTAGGCCACACAGGTTACAACTGGGTCAGGGTTTCCCCACAGTTTCCTTGCATTTACGCTGAAGATTTTCACATAAGCTCATCTTTACCTACATTTAAAAATGATTCTTATTAACTCTTTTGCTCTGCTGCTGTCACTAGGCATACCGTGCTGAGGACTCGCTGGAGTATCTGGTATCCATCCAAGCTGAGATATCTCCTCACCCTGCAAAACCGGGGTTGCGCTGCCAAGGGCTGAGAGGCAAGGTGCGTGGAGACGCTTCACACCATCGTCCTGTTTATAAATTCTGCTTTGGATTTGGCAGCTCCCGATTCTGACATTTGTTCTTACCATAAAAGCAGCAGGCACAGCGGGAAGAGCTGAATACTTATCAGTGACACCAAGCGATGAGCACTTCGTGACAATACAGCTTAGCACAGCCTGACGGAAGTTGCACTTAAAAATACTACAGTGCCGTATCAAAGCCAGCCAAATTTAGTTATTCACAAAGATTGCCAAAAAGGAACTTAATAATAAAGAAGCATCTATCTCACCCCCTTGCAGATGGAGACAGCTTCTTTGGACAGTGATTTTGGATAGGAAACATTATGTTCCATTATGGACTGGAAAAGTTCATCTTCATCTTCTCCATCAAATGGAGGCTGTTAAAAATAAATCACAGGTAAGTTACTTATTGTTTTTTTTTTTGGATTATAAATCACAGGTAAGTTACTTATTGGTTTGGTTTTTGTTTTTTTTTAATTCTTCACTTTTTATGAAATGGCATGAGAATACTATGGCCACACTGGGTCAGGTCAAAGGTGCATCCAGCCCAGTAACCTGCCTCCAGTCAATCACAGATGCCCAAAGAGACGACTATACAGCAGTGGTCCTTGCCCAGGAATACAAACCAAACTTCTAGCCATCTGCAGCTTGGGATCTTCTGACCCAGCAGTTTAGTGTTCATCAGTCTCAGGTAGAAATTGAGGAGGAAAGTTCATACCAGCATGGCAGCCAGGTTAATGAAATGTGTGCAGGATTATCTTCGCGATCATCTTTAATCAGCTTTTAAAGCTACTGTGCACCAGGCAGCCAAAATACTTTAAAGGGTGAAGTTTGGAGACTGTAACTCTCAATTATGTTGCGCTAAGGTATATCCATTCCTCACTTAATTCCAGTTAAACTCCAGTTTGTTTTGTAAGACATGGCTGCAGACTCTGCTTCTGTGAAGGGGAGACTGTATTACAAGAAAGGGCTGCATTTTATTTTTCAATGTAGGTGATGAGGAAAGTGCCCGTGGGTGAGTCCCCAGGATACGGGCACTGTGGAAGGCTCAGCTAATGGTAAATCTCATTTTCTCAAAAGCATTCAGATGCCTAATATTTGCAGTGCAGACTGTAAATGTTAACAACTGCAATTGCTACACTTTAAAAACTTTTAAAATGTCGACTGGAATTTAGTAGAGAAACTATTAAAGGTGTTTGTTAAAAATGTGTTTTAAGCTTAGGAAATGCATACCTTTAGCTAACGCTCACTGAAAGCCAATTGCACAAATCTTTTCCAACTCAAGACTAATAGAATTCCTTAAAGTTGGTAGTTATCTGCCATTTACTGCAGTACAGCGTTGCTTTTCTACTTGAGTGACTCAGAGAGCAGCATCTCATTAACTGTGCAGAATAAGGGGTCTGTAGCTGAGCATATTTCAAGTGGCGAGACCCATACTTTACCCCTAGGTCATACAATACAAAAACTGTATTCTTGTGACATAACTGCAACGCAGAGCATATACACGCTCTTATTATGTCTCCCTGTGGTTTCAAACTACTAAATGATATTTCTTCCATTTGACATGCATTTCCCTGCTGAAGGGTCTCCCATTCAATTTTGAAGATAGCTATTACAGCACAAAGAAGCCATATTCAAAGACAGTGCTTGATTATGTGGGTGCAATATAAAGAGCTTAAAGTCTAAATACATTCTCACTGGAATAAGTCAAGAGTACAAGGAGATAATATCAGTATGAAAGGCCCCAAGCTTGTCCCCTAAGGATCTAATCCATTAGGGAGCCTTGAAACAGAGCAGCTTGGAGAGGCAGGAGGAGGTCACAGCGAGCACAGGAGGGTAACTCTTACCTGGCCAGCTAACATCTCATAGAGCAGCACTCCGTACGCCCACCAATCCACAGACTTCCCATAGGGCTGGTAAGCAATAATCTGTATAATCACAAAAAAACCAAAGAAAAAACCTCTGTGTTAACTAACACCCAGTCTTGTGACATATTAGATAAATAGCAACATGCAGAGGTGGAACATATTTCCTTGAAAAAGCCCAGAAAGACAACACTGAAATCCTCACTCTGGCTTATCTTTGGTTTCACTGGGAGCTGGACTGTTTTGCAAATGTTAGTCTGAACCTGCCCGCGTCTTTTGGTACTCCGATATCTTGGGAAATGCGGCTCTTAGGAGACCTTGGGATGCGCATTTGAAGGCAAAGAAGGAAGTACAACAGCACGATGTAGGAGACAAGGCAAAAATGTCATCCATCCATTTGTGTCAAAGCTTGAAATCATGAGTCTCCATTAACTTACAGATTATCAATAATTAAGCCTTTCTTTTCTTTTCAATATTTATATTTTTGTTCCGCTGTAAAAGGAATAAAAATTTAAGAAAAGAGCAAAACCCTGAAAAGCTCAGTTACATTTTCCCAAGTTGCACGATTAATATACTCTTAGTACGAAGCTAGATACCAGCTACGCAAAAAAGAAAGGGGTTTCTGCTGTTCAGCCTAATGGAAACGTCAAGTATTTTGCATCCTCTGGGTTCACATCTGACTCACACAGAAGCACAAATTGAGTTCTGACACAACGAAAGGCTGCAAGTGCCAAGAGCACGCAGGTCCCCTCGTGCGTCACTTTCTTTAGTCGAGGCCTCTTCAGAGATCAGTGTTAATTCATTTAAGAGATGCATTTGGGCATGCTATAGAGGAGTTTTGAGGTGCAGATGTTCTCTCAGATCTCCTTCTAAATAACTGTGAAGGGATATTGTGAATCGTGAGGGGATGCAGGACGTCCCAGCCACTGTCCATCCGCATCGGGGAAGGCAGTATCAGAGCCTCCAGCCCCAATGCCACCGCTCCACTAGAATAAGCAGAGAACCGTGGCAGTCATTACTCCAGATGGGCTGGTATTTATTTTCCTGTTTGCATGTGTTTTTATTCTTTGTGAAACAAATTGCTAAGACGAGTACACATCACGTGTTCTAGATGTTTTAGTTGTCTGAAAGACAAGTTGAACTGGCAAGCTTTGTAGTTTCTCAGGAAAATAGTGAGTCACCAGTTCAATAAAGCAGGACTGCCTGGCTACTAAATAAAATTAGAGTCTCTAGGTGAATATACGTTCTTCGCTGGGATAACAGCAGCACATGAATTAAAAATTACTGCAATGTTTCTAAGCAAAGGATTTCAAAATCAATCACACTTTGAAACATATTACAGAACCAGAGGTAGTAACAAGATTCTCACCTAGAAGGCCCTATATAAAGGCAATCTTTAGCAGTAATATTGCCTTTAAAATATATATTTGGGACATTCATTTCATATTATAGTGGTTGACACACTTGGTTACTCTCCCTGTAATTTCTATCACCGGTAAGTTCCCAGTGGTCCGCTGGAATCAATGTTGCTTCTTGAAAGACCAAACACTTTCAAATTTTTATCCAGAAAAAATACTGGCCTTTACACACAGAAAACGATAAAATGTTTCATCCTCAACCCTTCTCCGACAATCTCTCCTTGCTTTATGGAAAAGAGTATTTTATCCAAAAAAAGGGGTATTTTTCAGAAGGTCATTAATTTATAAGGGCAGAACATTTTGTACAATAAGTACGCTTCATGTAAGTGGTTTTGGTAGGAACAGTTTATTTCAATTAGCAAATGAGAAAAAGATGGATCCATAGCAGTTAGAAAGAAAATGCTGCTACACCGCCATGGTTCTCAACCTGGCAGCCAGGTCTGTCCAGGAGGCCGCAGTCTGCTTCTCCTCCTATTGTAAGAGAGTTTGATGGGACTATTGAGGAGAGGAAATCTTTTAAATACGGTATGCAATGTCATAAAATGAAAGATGTAACAAAGCATGGACTCAATGATGCTGTTTGTTTATCCAGCAAGAGGTGAGTCACGAATGGGTTGTTCTCTAAATAGCATTCTCATCAGCAAGCATAATCTGCCCCAATTAAATGTGCCTTTGTGAGAGAATACCACAGAATCATCAAGAGAGGCAGAATTAGCATGAAAAAAGCTCCCACATTTAACCTAACATATGGTCAGAGTCACTAAAATTTTTGTCCTATGTCATTGGCTAAAATATTTATTTGATGCCACATGTCAACATCAGCAGAAGCATCTGACGAACAGATCAGTGCCCCCTCCGAGCTGGCACACACCTCCCTTGCTCGAACCGGTCGCATGATGAAAGTAGTGGGATTTAAGAAATAAATACGGACATCGAGTTCCACTGGGACTGGAAGGGTCCCACTGCAGAAAAGCCCCACTGCAAATACAATGAAAACACTTTTTTCATTGAACCTACCGCAACGTAGGAAAAGGTGGTACTGTCGATGTCTGCTGCTGTACACCGGAAGTTTTATTCCTTTAATCCTAATTAAATACACCCAATTTGAATCACCAGCTTAATCCGGGTAAGGATATGATACAAGTGAAACACAGAAAAGCAATCTGCCACGTTCATTCACCAATCTGCGCGTCATGCACGGAAACCGGCGGTTATACTCATAATATTGGGAGCTATTCAAAGCATTAATTGGAAAATGTAAACGAGAGGAAAGAACGCTCACTTCAAGGAAGGAATTACATGTGGGAGGAAGCAGATGAGTTTTTAATATACAGTCAAACATGCATTGGTACAAAGTCAGCAAGTTCTAAATGTCGTATTTTCAGTAGTTCCCTCCTCCTCATCCAGAAATCATGATGTATTACCCACCAGCTGCTGCACTCAAAGCCCTCACTGGCTGCCTTGCAGCAGCTGCCAAAATAATCCTATCTGCATGTACAAATTTTGGTATCTTTTAGAATAAGTAGGGGTATATTAACATGACCTCCTGTCTCACCGCAGTGTGCAGAGCAGACCCACAGAGCGGTGAGGGAGTTCACGTGCCTAGAAACGAAGACCTGTACCCTCCTCCAGCTAGTATCTCTGCTTTCTACTGGCCAGGGAGGAGTGGAAAGTTGATAGGACCCAACCCTTCCCTTCCCCTCCTTCTCCATCATTAATTTAAATGATTGCCTTTTTCATCTCCTTTTGCATTTCAAATGTCCCATTTTCCCTACCTATTACTGTATTTTAAGAGCTCTGCCTTTTCAGGTGCTGCGGACTTGAAAGCTCAGGAGGAATTTCTCTCATCAAGCCAAATTGGCAGAGGAATGTTGATTGCTTTTTTTCTTTTTTTACCTTTTTGCCTCCAAGGAAGGCACAGGTAAGAGCAGAACACAGAGATTAATACCAGCAATTTGTAGGAATGTTTAGATCATTGCAGCTTGCAGCTGGTAGCCAGCTGGGATGAAAAGATTATGTCCCAGAGGCAAGAGAGAAAGTCTTTTATGAACATATCTTATGTCTACTGGAAAAGTTAAAACTTGGTTATTAAAAGAAATTAATATTACCAGCACAAGAAACAGTCAAATGTACACTTTCCAAACCTTTCCAATACCTATTAGCTTCCCATAATCCAAGGTTAGGACTTAACGTTTTGAGGCTATTAGATGGAGAAGAAGGGAAACAGAGTTTCTAATTTAAATTCTTCTGAAATTCAAAATCAGTGCTCAGCTGCTGCAGGGATGCTGATGGTGGGGTTCAGTACTGCGCCACAGGCAGCTGGCAGAATCTCTTCCCGCTAATCCTTTGACATCCATCTCCTTCTGTCTCTCTTGGCTGGTCAAGGAAATATAAAGCATTAATTGATTTCACAGCTACTTTACCACTCTGACCATAAATATTTAAGTTCAGCACATCAATAAATATTCTTTACTAGATAACCACTTTCTGCCTGACAGGAGTGGTCAAACCTGGGATTCTACCAGTTTAACCTCTGCACATTTCTCAGATTGCATAGGATAAGCAAATGAATATTAATTCCAGTGCATTATACACCTAAGTAATAACAGATGTTAATTTCCCAATCATTAAAAAAGGAAAGCATTATTTTACAGTACACCCAAGTGTGCCAAGTCCACTTTGCTGAATGCAGCACCATATTCCCCTGCTTTTCTGTCCGGAGATTGCACATGTGAAGCCAGCTGAGATGTCCCTGTATGGTCCTTCCAGCCGTGCTATCTCCGAACTATGTCTGCGGGTAGTTCATGTAGAGGCAGCGTGGGCTCCTTCAGACCGTACTATAGTCACAACTTTATTCCCCAAATACTGATGAAAAGAGCTAATTCTCTACGTTTGAGTGCAACACACTCACAGGACTACTCTACTCTAGATACCTTCAACAGTTTAGTTAGATTTAGCTCATTTATCTCCACTCAACAGGGAATGGTACCGTGCAAATGCATCCTCATTATAATCTATTATGAATTTATAAATTTTACCCCATGGAAACATGCTGAAATGCTCCTGCAAGCAAAACATGAACCTTACTTTGAAGTTCACCACAGACCTAGTTAGCAATTTGTCAGTCACAACAATGTCTTCAGAAACAAAAGAAAATCAGCCAACTAAATAAAAAATAAAATCTGTTTGTAAGATAATAGAAAGGCCAATTTCCTCCCAGTTACTGAATGTTTTGGTAAAAGGTTTATTTCTTTATATGAAATTTCCAAATAAAGTAAAATAAATCATTCCAACACTGACCCATATTGAGCATTTTGGCACTGACAACGTGTTCTTTGGTATTAACTGGCACAAGACTATTGCCACAGAAAGGACACTTTTTAATTTGTAATATTGGCTTCATTTATGTTTTGACAGGAGAAAATGAAATACTGCTCTGGTTGTTCCGATATCCTGCTGCAAGCAGCAGCAATTTGTGAAAAAACGAGGTTTTATAGTACACAATATTTCACTCTGAAAAGCATGAATTAGCAACTGGAAAAAAAACAAGCTATTTTTCATTCCAATTTCAGAGATGACAAAATTCACCTTAGACACTAATTTACTCGTCCATGTACAAATCTCCCATCTTCCAACAAACATTTAATTACAGCCAGAAATGTTCCAGCCAGAGCTGCCTCTTGCCCAGCACTCAGTGAAAAACTGAGTATCTTGGACCAGGCTACAGCCTCTTGCGTTGCATTTGCAGCCAAACAAATCAAGACTCTTGAAAGCTCAGTATGCACAAATACCAGATTTTAATATTCATGTATTTGAATCATTTCCAAATCACCACATGTGCTTGTTTTTAATGTTTTATACCTAAACTAGTGAAATACAAATCATATCCAGACTAAAAATCTTAACTCTAAGCTCGTATTTCTCACAGTGCTTTAAAGTAGAACCGTGTTTCTCATGATCAAGTTTTCGTTTTAGACACACTGCAGTTAGGTTCGTGTTTGAACGTGATTTTTAGTGGCTTGAATGCAACCCAGGTATCGCCAAGTCACAGAAAACTCAAGGCAAATTCTGGATTTATTATGTCAACTCCATTCAAGCCCTGATCTTACAGCTTTGTTGAGGCTTTCGATGACTGGAGCTTTCCTGAGATCAAGAGCAGTAACTCATGACACCCATGTACCATTTGTAAGACATGGCCTGGAAAAGACTACAGTAGTTTTGCAGGGAGGTCAGCGAAAAGTTTCAAGGCCTCATGAGTCCCACCCCAAAAATCCATGAGTGGTTTGTGATTTCCTGAAAATGCCAAACAATCCTTTAAATATATGTATTTTGGCACCTGTGTGAACCCATGGAGAAATACATTATAGAAACTGTTTGCTCCCAGTAAAATGTTTGCTGACCTCATCAACAACCTCAGCAACCCCCATGAAGTCTCTACGACTTCACAAATTGAAGCACAAAGTTTAGTATAATAACGTTTCCAGGCTACAAATTTAAAATCACAAGGTGGTGATCCTGCTTTTTTAGTCTTTTGCTAGTATGAACAAAATCTGAAGCACTGATCTCACAAAAAGTTAGGTTTTTAATCAACTTTTTATTTTTTAAAATAGTGAAGTCTTGTTGATAATGGAGAAGAGGAGGCTGAGGGGAGACCTCATCGCTCTCTACAACTCCCTGAAAGGAGGTTGTAGCGAGGTGGGGGTCGGTCTCTTCTCCCAAGTGACAAGCGATAGGACGAGAGGAAACGGCCTCAAGTTGTGCCAGGGGAGGTTTAGATTGGACGTGAGGAAAAATGTCTTTACTGAAAGAGTGGTGAAACATTGGAACAGGCTGCCCAGGGAAGTGGTGGAGTCCCCATCCCTGGAGGTATTTAAAAGACGTGTAGATGAGGTGCTTAGGGACATGGTTTAGTGGGCATGGGGGTGTTGGGTTGACGGTTGGACTCGATGATCTTAGAGGTCTTTTCCAACCTCAATGATTCTATGTTGTATTAATTCACAAAGTTATTCAATATACCTGCAGAAGTATAAATGGTACCGTCCACAGAGTATCCAGAGTTACAGCTATCAAAACTTGGTGGTGTGAGATGTGTGTATGGACAATTTTCATTTGAGAGACTAAAAGGTTCTTGAAATGGTAAATATTTACCTCTGGTGCAATGTAGTCTGGAGTGCCACAGAAGGTCCGGGTTGTTACTCCATCTAACATATGTTCTTTGCACATTCCAAAATCAGCAATTTTAATGTGTCCTTCTGAATCCAACATCACATTATCTAATTTCAGATCTCTATGAAGAATCACAGTAATTTAATGTTAATGTTTAGGATCAACGAGGGCCAACTTATCTACTTCTAGGTGACGAATACGTGTAGCTATTTGGGGGGTGGAGGGGACAGGGCTGCACATGCACGGCAGTCTACAGTCCAGACGGAGCCGGGCACCTCGCTGCAGAGACATAAGAATGACCATAAGCCCTGAAAATGGACAATTAACCGAGAGGTAGATGTATATGACCATAAGCACACTCACACTGAGACTTCTGAACGTGCAGAACTATTGAACATCACACAGGACTGCACGAGATCATGTTTTACATTTTCAAGAGTTTTCAGCTGAGTTGGGCAGAGCACAGACGTCGGAAAAGCTCAAGTAAAGCAATGGCTTTGGTGTACAGTGCACCAGCACCAACACAACAGAAAGAACACTACACTGATTGCTTTTTATAAAATGTTTTAAAAAGGCACTGAAATGTTAAAGAAACTGATCCTTTCGGGGTTTTAAAAATAGTTCAGAAATTACTTACGTCAGGTTATACTCACCTATAAATAATCCCTCTGTTATGCAGAAAGAATAACCCAACTGAGATCTCAGCTGCATAGAACCTGTATGAAAAAAAACCCAACAGATTTCTTATCGCCTCGTGATTTCCTTCTGACAAAATATTTTGGAAATGCATCATGGTAAAGAATGATAGTATAATAGCATATAAAGTATGTAATATATAGTGTGTATCTATATATTAAAGTATATAAATATATCTTACAGGCAGATGACATAAAAGACACCATACTACAATTTAACTTTAACAAACACATTTCGAGTATTTGATGATAAAATAATGCAGAATTTAAGAAAAAAAAATTGAAAATATCTCCTTAGACCACAAAAAAAAAAGGTGCAGCTGGAGCACAGCATTTTACTGCACTGATCTGAATCTGCCTGCAAAGGTCACTATCTCTCATCACATATCAATGCTGAATTCAGGATGCAGCTCAATTTACACTGCAATTCATACGGCATGAAAGAATTTGCAGAAGTATTATTCCTTTAGACAGGCTGGGGGTGGGGTTATTTTATAAAAAAAAAAAAAAAAATAAAATGATTACTATATAAGATATAATTGCTGAATGTAGTTAAAGGATATATAATATTGATGGATGTTTGAAGCCGGTTGCTGTGGAACTGTGCAAATTATATGCAAGAGGATTATTTAAAGATTAGCTTAATTTTTAAGCTAGCATAAGGGAAAGGAAAGCTTAGCTCTGAAACACTTGATCAGAGGTGTTTGTGAACGTGTGTGCTGGAATATGCTCCACAGGCATAAACTGTCATAAAGCACCATAGTTTGCAACGGGTGTTGGCAAGTTACGTTAGCTGGGAGTCAAGGATGATCTGACACCATCTAGCTTTTATTTAGCAAGTTGTTGAAATTTTGTTTTATATCTCAAATACTTATATTTAGAAGGCCTCTCATTTAAACAAGCCCTGATTATTTAAATTGGAATGAGACATTATTTTAGCTGAATTCTTAAAACAGTTGGTCACACGATTTTAAAATTTCATTGGTAAATGATTTATGAAACACTAATAAATGATGATGAGATGTTATAAGCATGGACTAAAAGGTACTGATGGATCTATTCACATTCGAATATGCTAGAGATCATTATCAGTTGCTCACTGATATGCCAGATGTACAATTACCTAAAAGGGATCATGTATATAAACAACTTCTAATCGCTTATTAACTCCTCACAAATAAAACTTCTATAAAAAAGTAGGACCATAGAAATTCTTACAAGCCATACATTGAATTTATCTTGTATAAACTACAATTTATATTGCAACGCTGAGTTTGTTTGTATTGCCTTTCCCTATAACATTAATTCAGACTGAAATGTTCTACTCACTTTTTTTTATAGTCGCTTTTAAAAACACCACCAGAATACCAAGTACCATCTTTAATTTCCTCTTGCCTTGTTTAAATTCTTGTCGCTTTTAAAGTAGGCATTGCATGCCTTTGTTCGTGCTGTATTTTTGAATAAAAAGGCATAGCCACCTTTGGTCTATGTGTGCAAACAACATTTTTAACATAACCTTCAGCTTTTGGGCCTTAAAAAACACAATCAAAAAAGGCCAGCCTAGACTTCATACTGAACCTGGGAAGAAGAAGAAACCTAATCCTCTTACAGTGTAAAATTAAGATGATGACATGATTTAAATATGTAAACATGAACACTCACACTGCTTGTGGCTCCTTAAATTTTCCTACTTGCTGAATGTGATACATGAGATCACCACCATTCACATACTCCATAACAAAATACAGACGGTCCTAGGATAAAGTATTAAAGACGCACATAAATACATTAGGGAAAATATTAGATATGCATTGATCAGCAAAAAAGTCACTAATATGTTATTATAAAGCTTTTAAGATTATTAGGACTGGTTGTACATTCTGGAAAAATTGACAGATCAGGAAATGGAAGTGGAATGTTTTGTAAAACCTGCAAGAGTAAATGACTGATGAGATCTGTCTAGATTTGCCAATTTTAGTGACGCACTATATTATTTGTCTACAATGGTTCCCATAATTATCCACATATAGTTCTGTCTGAAAAATCTGTCTCTCTAAAAATAAATGTAAAAAAAAAAAAATTAAAGATGGTTGAAAATTCTTACTTTGAGGCCATTTCTAATCCTTCCTAATAAGTTTTCCTTTGGAAGATGGGAGGTATTAAAAAACAGATTTTTTTTGATTATTAAAGAGGCAAGAAGAAAAGTAATGGTAGGGTTTACAAAAGTATCTGGAACCCTTACAAGCGACACTAAATCAATTTCTCGTAGGCACATATTTCACCTAGAGGAAGATGGCAATAAGGTATTTTGGAGGGAGATTTTTCTTGCACAGTGAGGACTATTAAAGGCCACATCCAGGTATCTCAAATCAAACATGACCATAACATATTTGAGTGCACTTGAGTCGTATTTTCCCACCCACCTTCAGACAATAAGACTTAAAACAGTAGGTCTGTCCCCCAGTTTTCAGAGGACTAAAACTGAGCTCTTCCAAGTGACCTCAGTAAGGATACATTGTTTACACTCTACAAATATCTTTGATTTAGGGTGGATGATTTTGACCACCTAACATTAAAAATTCTGGTGGAGAACATTACGGCAAGCTTACTATCTGCAGTTATAACATGACAACATTACAGCAAGCTTACTATCTGCAGTTATAACATGACCCAGACAGCACGTAAGATGCATTAATAATCTTCCTCCCAGTTATGGGAAACATATTTTTGGCTTCCTCTGATTTTCCGTTAGATATTTTGGACAGAATCATTATCCTCAAGTATTTGTAGAAAAGTTTTGATCCAACAGTCTGATGGGAAAGAGACTCATTACTAAGATGCTCTAGTTCAATCTCTTTCCTTCGGCATTGATTGAAAGTCTCCAATCGTCCCGTAACTAAGATTTCAGAACATTAACATACATTTAAAAGCTATGATTTCCTAAGCTGGGTCCAACAGACAAGCCACGGGCAAAATGTTTAATTGGCCAGATGGGATTAACAAAATTTAGGGTTTTGTATGAATTGTCTTATTGTAAAATCCATGGCAATAGAAGCCTGCATCTAAAAGCACTAACCCCAAATTATCAATTTTTCCTGTGGTCACACAGTTTATGCCTTTTCTTCTCCTTTATATGCTTTTTCTCATTTTTGTAGCTAATATTAATCCTCCAGAATATTTCATAGCATCAAGTGCAAACTACTCAACACTTTGGAAAACATGAAGTAAATTAGGCAAAGGTGTTAATGATTTATCTGGGCCTTTAATGTAGCTCCACTGCTCTTGTACATGATAAAACAGAAAAATTACACTGTAAATAATAAACACCCCAACCTTTTTCCTCCATCCCCCTTAGCCAGAGAACACTAGACATTTGTACTTTTAAGATTTTACATTTAAAATGTGGCTGCTCAGAAAAAAGATAAAAATAATCAAAGTGGTTTTTCATTTACTGATGGCACTAAGTTTTTTGGTTACTAATGAAGTTATATAAAGATAAAGAATTAGAGGGAGATAGAAGTCTATGTCTCACTAGGACCTCTCTTATCTTGTTATAACAATCTTCATATTATAAGTAGAGGCAGGAAAAATATTTTAGAAAGCAAGAATTACCAAGTACAATAGTTCCCAGACTCACATTTTATTGTGATTAATTATGTCTGCAAATCTGTTGCATTCAGGCCATTTTCTGCTCAGAGATTTGTAGACATGAAACAGAGTTTGAAAATGCCTCTAACAACACAGACAATTATGCTATGAAATGGTGACGGGATGACGCGGCTTGTTTGTGGAATATTACAATGTTATTACTTCCAACTAACTGCCCGTTGTTTGTTCGTTTGCTTTTAGATTAAAAACCATCAACAACGTCAGAGGTAAAAGACATGGAATAGTCAAGTGGAAAAACAACAACGTATGTCCTTTCATCACCCCATGAAGATACAACCCACCCCTGGGGCCACTGTCATAAGATGGCTACAAGGTGAGACAAGAGCTGCCTTGATTTCTTGTGACTAAAGACCTCTGCCCAGCTTGGAGCATTTGGAGCCAGTTCACTAGTGTCAGAGCGTACCCATGCCCACTCCGAAAACCAAAAGCACACTGAGCGCCAACTGTCTACCACGCGGCTTTCCACGTCATCCAACAGAACGGTATGGTGCCGCTGGATTGTCAGATCCACCCTGCAGTCTGTCCCTGGGAAATGTTTTGCAATGTACTGGGGAAATGTCCACTTCACATATTTATAAGGAAGGAAGAAAAAAAAACCCCAATGCTTTCCTCTGTGCCAGGGGTGCCAGAAAACTAAATTAAATCCATCAACATTGATTCATGACTAATCACCTCACGATATAACAACAGCCATTAAGACTTTTCAAGTACTATCCTCAGATCCTTAAAAGTATTTAGGAACCTTTGGGAATCTGGGCTTAAGGCTCTGACTTAGCAAAGCACACATTACTAAATTTATGAATTGTCAGACTGGTCTGCTTGAATTACTGTATGAAGAAAAATCTTTAAACCTAGGTTTTATATTTAAAATACAAGGGGTAATTACATGCAGTATCTCTTTCTTCACCATTTTCTATGCGCAGAAGCTATGATATATAAGTCGGATGATAATAAATGTTATTGAACTGATAAAATCCATGATCGTATAGTATGGAAAACATCAGGGTGGCAAGAAAGACAGAGTTCACGTACAACTGTTTGGAAACAAGAGTGAAGCTGTGTCAGGAAGGGTGGTTTATCTTGCAATGCCAGGACTCGTTTTTCAACCATTGTACATTCGACGTCATCATCCTGAATCACCACATCTTTTTTCAGTATTTTGATTGCATAGAGCTCCTCTGTCCCCTTCCTGTCTGCCAGCATCACCTGCACAAAGAGAAACAACAGGGTAAATCTTCCTACCTGCCAAGGAGGGAAGGTGACTCATACGCCTGAAGATTTGTGCAGATGGCAATCCAGCTTTTCCTTTTATTGGTATAGACTAACTGGATCAAAACTCCAAAAATATCATCATTACTCACCCACTGCAATGAGCTGTACCAGTCATTTCAGACAAAGCCTGTGCCAAAACCCTCTGGTTAATCGCAGGCACATTGCCAACGGGCTGATAAAATGTTAAGTCCCAGGGGACTTCTTCAGTAAAGGGCACTTTATCATGTAAGCGGTTGTTCAAACAGACAGAAAAATAGCAGTCCTTTCTTTCGACTAACAGATTTCAAATATATATACACTATTCCTGTTTTTTCCGCAATATTCAGCCTTACCGATGTTGGTGACTTCCAGAACTGGCAGAGTGACCTAGATAGTAAAGCTAGAAAAGTAGACTTAATTTCCTTGAAACTGCCAAGAAGTGAAGATCTAAAAGTCAGCAACTGCTTCTTACACCCTGCCCAGCAGCCTGAGGTATTTTTATTTTTTCAAGAAAACTGCCAATCATGACTGAATGATTCCGCTAGTCCTTAGGGAATCACCCTACTGCATGTTAAGAAATCCTCCCTCAAAAATGCACATCCTTTTGCCTCTGGATTTTGCTTCTTAGAGACTTACTCATACATTCTTCCTCAAGAAAAAAAAAAAGAATGCGAGTGGAATAGGTATCAAGAATTCCTACCTTCCCAAAGCTCCCCTTTCCAAGAACCATGAGAAAGTTGAAATCTGTCAGCTTCACCCTGTCCAGATTGTTGGATGGCACACTTGAGTTCTTGTCTTCTGTTGGAGTAATGACTTTGTTACCAGCTGGCCCAAGTTTGGCTTTCTGAAGAACATACACACACATACACACACAAAAACAGGGAAGTAAGAAGAGTAGCCCATTTTCTTGGCAGAATGGATCACTGGGTGAAGGTTAGAATTGGAGATGACCATATCTGAGGTGGCATTCCCAGGAGAAAGGCTGCATAACAAAATTTGCACAGACACAACTTCGAAGACTCATTCCAACGATACTTTTGACATTATTGAGTGAATTAAAGTGGAAAACTGTGTTCATGTATAACCAGATAAAAGCAGATATACTTATCTGGTTAGAAGAGCAAAACCAAAGCAAAAAAACAAAGCCAAAGAAAAAAAATCACTTATTTTCATGCCAAAAGCAGGCTTATCTGGTAGTTTTGTTTTGAAATACAAAAAATGCTTTTCAAAAATATCATGCTGTATCTACATAGGGTATTTTAGGATATAAACAGTCTCTTCGATACATTATCTTTTAAAATGTAATTCTTAAAGTCACTGCATAGCAAGAGTTAGGAAATCTTTGACATGCATTAAGAAAAATAACCTACATGAAAAAAAACCCACAACACATGAGAATTAATGCAGATGAAGATGGCCACTTTCAAACTAGCAATACAATCAACTTTGATTTTCAATCAAGTGTTGATCTGGAAAAGGGAGGAAGGGAAATATTATATACAAAGGCTCTGCCTTGGCAAGACAGTCTGGTTTGCAGAAGGTTGCAACAGTCTCAGTATTTCATATGAGACACCATGTAATTGCTCAAGTAAGTTGCATTTCAAATCTCAAAGTTAATAGAAGAGAAAAAAGTAAGACTCACCAAAAGATAATGCAGGCTACAGCATAATATCCCTCTCTTTCTCAAAATAATCCCATATACCAGCAGAAGCAAAGCCAAGAAGGTTTAATAATACTTTGGGATGTAAGTGCTTTCCCTCCATCTATCTAGTGTGTTGATCTGGTAAATAACCTCCAACACGGTTAATTTACTTTGTGCCATTGACAGATGCTTGACATTTAAGGATAACTACTTTTCTCACTGCACCGCAAAAGGACAGTATTTGCATGTTATCACTGTTTTACAGATAAAGAAAATTAGAGAAATTAAAGTTTATTCAAAGTCACACAACAAATCACCTTAAAAGCCTGGCCTGGCATATACCCTTGGCAGCCTCACTGGAAACTGGAAGATACAAACTCTCCCCTCCCCAGACAAATTTAAAACCAGAAGATTCAAGCGACTCAATTCATAGACTCCAGCCCTGTACTACTGCAGGCAGTAATGTCAAGTAATCCTCTGATAAAATAGCCACACGTCACTTGAAAAGCATATTCAGATTGGATGACTCTTCCTGAAACTTTATAAATGCAGAAAATCTTAAACCGTGCCACAGGGATATGGATTTTGGCAGTTTTGATCTCTTTTTTTTTTTTTTAATTGTAATATAGCTCAAAACATGGAATTTCTTCCACCACTATTATTACTTGCTTGCATGAAAGCAGCACTTGGAGATGCTAATCAGGATCATGTGCTGTGCAAACGTTTAGGAAGAGCCAGTCCTGGGCATCAGCCTAAGGCCCTGATTCTGCAAGGGATAGCGCCTCGGCAGATCCGGCTGCTGGGACAAAGCCAGTGTCTGCAATGGAGCTGTCAGGACAAAGCTCCTTTCAAGGCCACAATACAAGACTGAGCCACAAACAGAACAAGTGAAAAAAGAAAAATCCTAATATCCTTTATTTGTAAAGATGAAGACATGGTTTAAAGGATCAGCTTTCCTGGCCATGTCTGTGATGCTCTCACATATGGGATCTCAGATAAAAGATCGTGCTCTTGTGATACAAGAAGCAATTTCAATATCCGCCTTTTCACCAAGTAAGGGAGATCCAAATCAGGCACTGAATGAAAAAACCACTAGTTTTGTTTCTTATATTTCAAACCCACTGGGTAGGTTGTCGGCAGCCTGTTTGAAAAATGTATCATCTGAAACAACAAATCAAATTTTGTTCCAAGGCAGTTTACTTCTTCGGGTACAAACCTGCCGCTCAGGCAGGGACTGCTTTCTGCAGTGCTGCAATCCCAGGCTCGGGGGGTGAACAGCACTTTTTCCAAAAGAAAGAGAGTGGCAGATTCATCAGCAGGCTCCCGTGCCCTCTGCCGGCTCCCAGAGCTGAAAGCACCGCGCTTCCTCGGATCAAACCCCTGCGAGAGGAAATTGTCAGGATCTGAAGGCGGCATCTTAAAATAGTATTAGAGAACCCAACCAAGGCCTCTCTGCACCCTCGCAAGAAAACGCTTACATTCAATGAGCTACAGACATGCTCCTCTACTTCCATTTATTATCTTTTTAAAATTAGATGTCGCTCTCAATTTGGTAATTTCTTTTTTCATATGGTAGATTTTTAAGGAGAACACCAGGTGCCTCCTGTTCGCTCAGGTGGGTTCCTTGTGCCATCTGCTCCAGGTGGATGGCTAAGGTGGGCAGGAGCTTATCGGACTGTACCTCAGCTGTGAGCGATCCGTGCTGACGGGAAGGTGACAATCCTGGTTGTCTCATCACTAGTGCTGAGCTATCTCCGTGCATTAGCCCGGACACTGGTACGGGTAAGAGAGCAAAACCGTTGCAAACCGTATGTAAGAAAACACAGGAAAATGGCATCCACGAAATGCTCGAGAACGACCAGGCTGACTCAATGCAAGCACACGGACCCAAGTGGAATGGCCTAATGACCTTACTGAATTATCATAACCTTATCAAAGGTCCCTATTTCCCTTCAGCTGGGCACTGACCATTTGTTCACGAGCATGACGAAAAAAGTTTTTCACATTTAGCCTGTGAACTCCTTTTACTGCTTTCTGGCTTAAGGTCCTAGTGAAAATATAGTGGAAAATTCAAAGCTGGCAAACATGTACTGGGAGGAAAAAAAAAAAAAGGAAACAATAATAATCCAAACCAAAACATTTCACAGATGATCCATTAAGAGCTTCCCAAAGTACTACTGCAACATTTCAATCATGACTTTGCCTCAGGCATATAATTTTGTTGTCGTCTTAGTACTATTTAAAAAAATTTCCAGAGCTACTAGAACAAAATTAGGCTATGGGCATGGAAATAAAATTAGATAAACATGGTCAAGCCATTACAGATGCTACCTGTGCCACCAAGTTTTTGATGGGACAGTAAGACATCTTTATGAAATAAACCCTGAAAGATCTAGTACTTATTACCTGTCTTGGAGAGTTAGCTGCTGTGTATATTCCATGTTATTCCATTCATGCTGAAGTACAAACCTAAACCAAAACGTCTCTTATAAGCTTCACGGAAGTTTCTACACTCAGCAGAAATGTCACAACTCATCGCTAATAATTGATGTTGATGGATTTAAGGAAAGTCTCTAACCTTGCCCTTTTATTACAGAACTTAACCCAGAATATGGGGCGAGACGGAAGTACTTCAGAAACTCGGCTAATGATTTCTGGTTATGACTAAAGAATTAGGAAAATGTCTTCAAATATCAAAATTGCTTTATGTTAAACTACAGAAAATCTACAAAGTGAGTGAATGTCGTGCCTTATTGCAAGCAATGGGTGAAGATACAGGGAAACAATCATTTGCTTACAAGATTTAGTAAAGATTTGGAGAAAACACATCCGAAATGTGCTGGGCTAGTGTGCACGTGGAGGAGACCTCATCCACCCATATGCTGTGGCCATTTCCGCAGGGTGCCTGGCATCTGAGTGGGCCTTCACCTCACCCTCTGGTTGAATATTTAGTTGGCTGTGCCCACTGGAGTTAATGACGTTATATACAATGCCATGACTTGCAAACTCTCTTCACACACAGCAATGTTAATTTCTTGTTATGACCCATATGGGAAATAACTTGCTGAACAGACATTTTGCTAGAAAAACACTTTTCCTCAGCTTTTTGAATACCTCAACATGTGGGACATTGTTTTTTCACATAAAGAACAATTTATATATTTCAGGTACTTGAGATAGGGAACTACAAACTAAAACGACAGTTAAAACACAGTCAAGGAGGGGACCACAATAAAAATAAAAATACTAGAGAAAACATTACATTACTGATGCACTTTAACTTGCACAAACCATTGTTTGTGCAAATGGTGCACACACCATTACTTTCATGGTCACCTCTGTATCCAGGATCGCCCATGATGAATAGCTTTACTGCTTATTAGAAGGGAAGAGAACTTGTTTGAGGCTTATGCTCTGTTAAGGCCAACTTAAGCACTAAAAATAGGACAGATATTGGATAGAAGTGACTTCCAGAGCTCTTGGGAATGCTGTTTCAACAACGGGACTGACCACAGAGGAATAAAGAGACCCAGGACTCTCTTGGATAGCTAAACTGTGTGTAAGGAAAGCAATTTGTGATGTAGAGCATTACACACACAAAACTGAAGAGCAGGGCATTGGACTTGAGACACACACACACAGATCAAGGCACCCAGATGTGATACCACAGACAGATGTCTTCTTCCCTAAAGCCGACACTGTTAAATGGTGTTCAGATCTTTCTGGATCTTGCACAGACCCATCATTTTTCTCTTCAAGCTCTGGCCTTATAAATAGCCCAAGAAATGTATTTTCTCAGGTGTTTAAACAAACTCAGTTTCTTGCAGAGGAGCAGGTTTTCTTACAGTTGGATATGGCTAGAAAAAAGGAACAATATGGAAAACACCTGGACAAGACAGAGGGGTAGATCTGAAAGGAGGAAAAGCTAACCAGAATCACAGCCTACTGGTTGCTGTCTTATAGGAAAGCATATTTCATAAAAAGCAGTTCTAATAGATTTACTTAAAATGTTCCGTATTATTTTGGGACCTACTCATCCTTACAGCATTACATATATCACATTTCAAACCATTTTACTGATTTTATACATTAGGTGTTTGGTTTTTTTTTTTACACTAGCAGGAGTGCCTTAGCTTGCTTAAAATTGTCCACAAACTCTCTTACAATGAAGAACTACTTTTATTCAGATTAGTCTAATGTAGAGTCCAATGACTGGTAATACTTATAAATCTTCTTTTACCAGTTGTAGAGGCAGAGCACAAAAATGGGTATTCCAACTTCTGTATCCACAGCCAGTGTATGTCAGTGAATTCTCATAAGGTCAAGAACAGGAAACGTTTTAACGTGCTCTCACCAAGCTCCACCATGAGTTTTACATCTGATATGCCTTGAGTATTGCAGAGAGAAAACGTCATGCAACCAACATACTCTTCCAGATTCCCAGAGCAAAAACAGTTTTGCAACTATAGAAGGGACATAAATTCAAATGATTCGTAAGAGTTTACGGAAAAAGAGCAACAATATTTTGCCTCTTCCTACCATGACTACAGCTGAAAATAGCAGAATCCTATTTGAATCCACCTTTATTCTTTATGGACGTTAAAACTTGCTGAAGTTGAAGACGGCATTCCAGGCACTGGATTCATTTTCAATTTACATTCAGACTGCTTGGCTTAATATCTTTGATAAAAACACAATCTTGTTACAACGAAGCCAGCTTGCAGCAAACAAACCAGGAAAACAGTATGTTAAAGATAAATTAGTCTGCACTGGTAGCAGAAGAGTTAATCTTAAAAGAAAACAAGACATGCACATCATCTTACTTGCTCTGGTTTGGACGCACCTTATCTCGGCCAGTTCTTTTACCCTGAAACCACAGGTGAGACATACTTTATATATTCAGCCCAAATGCACTTCTTCATGGAGTGTTACAGAAGTTGCAGTGTGTTATACTGGAGAGTCTCCTGGAATTTGGTATGTGCTTTCTGGAAAAGGTGTCTCAGGTTTTGCAGTAAAAGCACTTTCAATTTATTTTTAATCTAAGGGTAACAATTGTTCTTTTAATTAGATATGGGGGAAAAAAAAAAAGTCTTCTCCAAAACCTAATGAGAAGTGTGATGCAAAGAAGAAAAAGAAGTGATTTAGGGAATAGCAATCCATCATTGCACTCAATTTTCAACCACAGTAAATGTTCTCATTGAGTCTTTTCAAAACTTTCTGATCTTTTTACTGTGAAGTCAATCTAATAGGACAAAACAATAAATCTGAACATTGGCATTTCTGCTTTCTAGTTATTAACTATAGTTCAGAAACTTTAGAATTACAGAGCAAAAAGGCTGAATCGGTCATTTTTCCCATTAGCCAATAAACAAACAAAATTTGTGAAGAATTTTTAAAAAAATATCTACACAATTTACATTCCTACCCTCAGTCTCTTCAGGGCAATGAGCTACGTATCATTACGTCGGTGCTTTAACACCTTGTATTGCTCACCTTCGTTAATTCTCTTCTGCTGCTGTTTGCAGCATTCAGCTCAGTAAGATTGGGGGTGTTCCCATATGGGAAATGAACACCGGGTTCCAAAACTGCCCAAACTTGCTGCCCCACCCTGCCACCCTCCAAGCACAGCTTCAGAAGGGAGAAACCCACATCATTTCCCATGAAAAAATATTCAAGCCAACAAACGGCCTTGCGACGTGCAGCTCACTAGAGGATGTATTCCTCGGTTGTCAAGGCAACTCGCTCTTAGCAAGTTCACAGATGCCCAGCGGGGAGATCTACTGGTAACAAATTTTCAAGAGGAGAAAGTGATAAATGAAAAAATATGTAACAGCAACGCTGAATTCCCATCACATGTGCGGAGGTACATACACATACAGCACACGTAACTTCTGTTTGGAAACAGCACGCGTATCACCACATTTCATCTGTTACTTATTGGCTCCACTGACACCTACCGGGAAGAGGAATTGAGAGCTTCGTTCCCGGCAGCGGAGCCTCCTCCAGACTCACAGCTCTGCTTCACATTACACACCAGCATCCTCTCTCCTCCTCTATAGCAGATTCCACCTACCACCGACTGCTTTGCCCATGCAGTAACATTCAGCCGTAAATAGCAAATGAAGGATGTGACAACAGAGAGCAGCACTGGCTTCAGTCTCCATTGCAAAAAAATCACAATTTTGACAGCATGAGGGTCAGCAGTCTAAGGACTGACCGAGCAGGCTTGCTGCAGGCTTTATCTTGGGTCTCAAGACTTACTTGAGATCCGTGGAGCAGCAATGTCTGCTTGCCAGGATGCAATCCCTCTGCGAAACTCTAACAAAATCTCTGCTTCTCACATCGCCACAACTTTTCACCAGTTCTTTCCTGGACCCCAACATGCTCTACAAACGTCACGAGGTGACGGAACAAGCCATCTCATGCTAGCCTCCCTTGCTCCCAGTGTTTCTGTTCCTAATTCTGAAGTTAACCCAAAGCCATAGCAGAGCTGTAGGTAACACTCTGCAGCACTTAAAGAAATGGCAAAATAGGTGGTGAGAAGTGAGGGAGGGAACAGTCTTAATAATAACGTTCCAGTTTCACTATTAGAGCCCGGGAGGCTTTGGCTGCAAGTGTGAAATTAATGGTCAGTTATGTCTGTCGCTACCTGGACTCTACACAAGAAGCATCAGAGCAGCTCAGATCTCAGACAAACCGCAGAAGGTGTCACTGACAGAGCTGGCAAAACTCATACTAAGGAGGTAAAAAGGAGAAACCGAAATAATTTATCCGAGTCTCAAGGAAGGACAAAAAGCCCTACTCAGGTTTCCAGTCATGAAAGCTCCGTGGGCATTTTGATCAACAGGTTGAGCCATTAGCAAGCCTTTAATAAAGTAAATAAATCCAATAAATTTCAAGTCAAAATCTGGAGGGAAAAAACCTCCCAGCCACTGAAATGTTCTCCATCATTGTGGCAGCTTGTTTCTTACATTATTGCATTTCCAATTCCCTGTAATTATAGATGCTATGAAGGACTATCAATTTCCTAGTTTATACAACTTAATTATCAGGATGCTGAGAATTTGAAATGAGAAGAGTCCATTCCTAAGCCCCAGCAAGACCTAATCCTTCACCAGACTGAGTTTTAAGCTTAATATCATAACCTAATGCAAGCTTGTAATTCATTAGCGGAGAGTTTTGTAGTCATGGAAACAACACAGAAAAGAGAAAGTTAGAGCCTAAGCTCCTGATGATTTAGCAGCCCAGCAGCTCTGACCGGAGAGGGGACGGCACGAGCGTTACATCTTGGTCCAGCCTGAGCTCATGTCTTTGCTGTCACAAGTCAACAGAGGGAAGGAACTTCCTTGACCGTTTTACCCGCCTCTACAAAAGATGTGCTGAGCAATCTGGGGAGATGCTTTTGCATTGAATTTCCTGTGAAACAGAGCAAAAGACACAGTCTCTGGCTCTTGCGCTTCTTTCCTTGGCTTAACAAATGCTTATGAAGAAGGCGGCAACACACGGCTTTTTCCCATCTTACTGTGCGTTCTCCCTGTTCCTTCCAAGAACAAATAACTAATGCACTAAACTACGAAATGTATTGCACTAACGAATGCATACGCACATATTTACGCCTACAGAAAGGAGCACGCTTGGATTAGGCTGCAGCAGACTGAAGATGCCTACGCGAGGCACTGCAATACAGCAAGACACACCCGTACCAGGGAGATGCACCGCACCACGGACACGGTCAAGGATTCACGAGGTTTACACAGCTCGTTTTTCAGCCACGTATTCCTCGGTGAAATTGCATTCTAGCAAAACTTCTTTGCAGCAAGGAGAACACTGAAAATACGCAAATAAGCAGAAAGCTGCACTCTCATATTTATTTTCATGGTGGCGATGTCACTGTGGTGAACTACGACGTAATTAGTAAAAAATGCAAGATATAAAAATGAAGTAAAATGCATTTTTACTTCAATAGCTAAAATAGTTATTGAAAAAATAGCTAGAAAAAAATTCTTTATCATTCCCAGTGCTAGTAAAAAGGCACGAAGGCAAACAGGATGTTTCATAAAAATATAAATGGGGAGCGTGATAAAACTCTACCTGGGAGTTAAATATGGACTATTTTATGTCTTCAGTTTACTTTTCCCCTCATTTCCTCTCCTCCTCCCCTTAAACTTGTGTCATATTTACCCTTTTGGTTAGTAATAGTAAATTTATTTAAAGGATCTGCCTCAAAAAAAAATTGTGCCATATGTGAAAAGGATTAAAAATGCCTTTTTGCAGAAAGCATGTCCAAGAACACAGGAAACCCACTCCTGAAGCCCACCCACCTGCTGTACTGCTCTGCTCAGCACGTAGGAACGATGATATCAGAGTGTACATGAATTAATCTGCGTTACAAATAACAGAAGAGAAAGCAGCGTGTCCCACAGAGAATTCTGGATGATTAGTAAAACTGAGTTATTTTGTCTAATCCTAGCACGAGCTGTGCGTTTGGAACCCGTGCCTCTTCTAATGCCTTGCGGGTTCACAAAATTCCTGAGATACTTTTACTTAGTGACTCAGAGATTTCCGCGGAGGTCCGTTTCTCTCACCTAGCATATAAAGTCGAGCACGACGGAGGCAGGTAATTACAGAAGTCATGAGGCACCCGAAGGCAGAGATGAACTGAGCAATATAAAGGTGAGCAGAGGCAGTACTCGCTTTTACAGCTGCAAATTATTAAATATTTTGATTAGAGGAAAAATCACCATCAGTGCCAGTTAAAAGTCTTGAATAAAGGGCTGTAGGGAAAACGTTATACTGAATTTTATCAAAATAGCAGTTTAATTTAATGGGTTTGTATCTTTCTAAATATATACATACAAACAATTTGCATTATTTCATTTCCTTCAGGACTTTTGCTAGAGACAGCTTTTTGCTTTGGGACCTATTCTGTGTTCTTTACTGACCCCTCGTGGTTTCTAACTCCGAGGAGAAATTATTTTCTCAAGCTCAACATTACGTTAAACGGATGTTTACTTAGGACAAAGGCAGTAAGAGAATCCTAAAGGACAATACAACAGTTCAATATACCATACAGCATCTCAACAGAGCTGCTTATTTTGGGGGGTTTACAATCACATTCCCTACTCAATTTTTTTTCTTCTTTTATTTTACTTTTTTTGTGTTGCTGTATAGAAGTTAAAACTGTATGAACTACTTGAATACAAGGTTTCTAAAAAATTCCCAAATTTGTCAGGCACAAGATTAAGGTAACCATATCCCCTAGAAAATGTAGACAACGAAGTCAAGTGACTATGAAAGATAGTCATTTGAAAAGGGATACATCTATCCTAAGAATAGGAGTTTCAGGGAATATCGCCCTGGACAACGGATGTCTGGCTGCGAGCAGTGAAATCTAGAGAGGGAAGAGTTTCCAGTTACCCATTTGGCACTGTCAAGATGTTTAATCTGTTTAATAATCCTGTGGCCACCTGAGCCTACTTTGTTTTCTGCCTTTATTGCCAAACGCACTATCCCCTGCAACAGAGCAGTGTCTAACTAGATGAAATGTAATTATACAGGCTGCCTAGGAATAACATCCAAGAATTCTTGCAGAAATATCTTGTGATAGTGGTAATAAAAACCCCAAACAACAAATATGATGATAGAAGAGCAAATCCCTAAGTGCCAAAAAAAGAATTGCTTTTATATATGCTCCTTCATTTTTTAATTATGCAAATTACTGCTCATTTTCAATAATTAAAAAAACCTAGAGTGTAGAATTTGCTTTTAAGCATAAAAATCATTACAATATGGACAAAAAAAATAAAATTCTGTTCTAAAATAATCTTTAAAGACTTCAGTTCTACCTGATCTTAGCGCAAATCCCTG